AATGGGGGCAGCCCTCATTTAACTTTTAGGGGCTTAAAAATAAGGCCTATTGCTGGAGATGCTCCACCATTGCATTGTCCATATGTTGCAAGATGTTCAGGGCTGCAACATGGCTTGACCCTAGGTGGGCTAGGCAGGCGCCTCCAATCCAGCCACAGAGGCCAGGGAAGATTCTTGTGTATGAAAGGCCTGTTGAACCGTCATATGAGGCTGTGGTCCAAGAAGGCCTGGTCCACCAGAGGGTCTGCGGGAGACGGCCCATGGAGTAGAGGCTCATGGGATCATCATCACTCATGGACCGGGTGGAGGAGCCAACAGTTACTTCTGGCTGCCAGACCTAGGGTAATCACCGCCTCTACCATCGCTACCACTATCACGGCTATTCCTAGTGTTGCCATTGCCACCGCTACTCCTCCCTTTGCCCTTTCCCTTGCCATTTTTCCCTTTGTTGGTGGAGTTTGATTGGCTGGTCGAGGTGGCAGCGAAGAGTTGGTGGGACAGTGCATTTCCGCTAGAAGAAGCGTCGAGCGGACACTTGTGAAGGTGGGAAAGGCGACTTGCAGATGCAGAAGTTATGCCTGGGTGGTGAAGTGAGGGCTGAGGCCGTGGATGAAGTTGAGGACAAGGGTGTGGTTGGAGATCTGTTCGCCAACATTGCGCATGGAATTAGCGAGATCTTGAGTCGCCAGCAGTAGCCTGCCATCGACATGTAGCCCTGGATGAGGCTCCACAACTTCATTTCTAGATAGATGATCCTGGTTTCATGGTTGTTGTGGAAGATGCCTTTGGCGGCGACCCACGGGTCGTGGGCCAACTACCATGGGCTCTATGATGACGTTGAGGACATCCGATGGAGTAGTACAGGGCGATGAGTACAGCGAAGTCCTTTTGCGCCCAGATCCTGGCAGTGTCGAGTGGAGGAGGAGGCTTGAACATGTGGCTTAGCAAGCCAAACTTGCTGAGGAAGATGACGAAAAAGGTTCTCTACTTGGTGTAGTTCAAAAATTTTATGTCGAGGACGATGGACATGTCCATCTTGACATTTGGGATGCTGAGAGCGCCAGACATCAGGGTAGGGAGCGCGGGTGTCACACAAACAAGCGTGTTGGGTGTAGGTGGTGGGAGCACCGATTCTTGCGCGGGTAGCGGGATCGTCAGGGCCAAAGAGATGCCTAGTGCTTGTGTCGATGACGCCATGATGGCATCTTGGGCCACCTATATATGCCCTGGCGAGGGTGGAGAGGAGGTTGTCGTTCTTGCCAGCGGCATGGGCAGCTGCGAGCACCGTGATGAGGTTGGCCACTGTGTCCTAGGTAAGGTAAGGAGGAGGGGGAACACAGTCGATGGTAGGCTGTGGAGAAGCCATGGATGAAGCACAGGAGAAAAAAAAGGGAAAGGAACAGGAGGGATCAATGCCATTCTGATACCATGAAAACATAATGAGGAGCAAGAAGAAGGCCCCATTGGTTGCCCTAATAAACTAAAGCCAAAATTTGAATTTTCAAAGTTGATTTTAAGATATTCAATGTAGATCCTTTTCCAGCATTGGATTTTAAGTCGCTAAGAACACACATAAAAGTTTTACCTATAAATTAATTTTTATGCTCTAATATATAAGTTGCTTTATCTTATTAGGAAATATGGGCAACTGATGAGACTGAAAGTAGCTCAGCTCATGCACAATTGATGCGGGCCAATTTCAGTTAAATAGATCCAGCTTAATAAGGAAGGATGGTAAAGAATAGCAGGTGGGGCCAATTTCAATTAAATAGATCCAGCTACATGAGGAAGGATGGTAAAGAATAGCAGGTGATTAGGGGTATAGAAGAGATTATGCCAAAAAATAGAGATTACATGCTATCTTTGACACTAACTAGCTTCTCAACAGTTGAATTTAATGTGGTTTGATTGATGAAGCTACCTACTAACTTCATCCATATCTACGAAGCTATGTAAATAAATTATTTACTATGATGTTTGATGAACCTTGATCAGGAAGGCTTTGCTAGCAAATTCACATTCTACCGTATACACTAATCAGAACATCACATAGTTTGATTTGGTTTTCTCTAATATCTCAAGGAATATGTTCCATATCTACAAAGCTATGTAAAGAAATTAGTTAGAATTATGTTTGATGAACCTTGATCTGGAAGGCTTCACTAGCAAATTCACATTCTAACGTATACACTAATCAGAACATCACATAGTTAGTTTGGTTTTCTCTAATATCTCAAGGAATATGTGCGAAGCTAAGTGTTACACTACTTCTTTTGGTTAAGCTTCACCAGCAAGTGCGTATGCAAGGAAACATCTAGTTGCATATATACACACATGCTGGTCAAGAGAAGAAGTTGTATCACGTCCATAACCTGGTATTATGCTATTCAACACATGGGAAGATGGGAGGGACATACTCATTAGATGCCTTCTGGTACATGCAACAACGTATTGTATGCTTCTGATTAATTACAATTTTAAAATGATAGCACAATTAAATTATTTACTTGCTGAGCTAAAATGGTTTAACCCTCCATTTTAGTCTAAAGTGTTAACAACATGTCTTGCCCAAACAACAGCAGTTTAACCACAATTCTAGCTCCAAGATATACAGCTTACCAGGCCAGTTCTTGCAGCACAATTTCACAAGGGTATAGACTCAATATATTGCAGTGTTGACTAGCTGAGACACAAACATCTAAAGGATCACATTATTTATTTGCACCATAACGTTACTCACCTGTATGCTGCCACAAATACAAATATTGCAGCCTCATAGTTTATAGTCCAAGTTAATTTTCCTTATTCTATTCACAGCCTCATAGTTCGTATGTATTCTTAGAATGACATCCTCATCTCACTTTCTCCCAAATCCTAGAAATTCATGCTGTGACAAAAGTAATGGCCTCACTGAAGGTTATAAGAGCTTTTGGCACTGAATGCTTGAAGCAATATCTTGCCTGGTTTTTTGAGTTCATTGGAGTTGAAGATAAAAACCCCATCACCTTTTTATGCTCACAAATGCAAAGACCTAACCAATTCAGCAGACCAATATATGCAAATTTTCACTACGCCATCCATTCCTCCTGCACACATTGCACATTTAGGTACTAACAGTTTGGTTTTAGGGTTTTGAAATCCGCAAAGTTTTTTGCTTGGATATATTGGTGAGTAATCGAACTTGCATTCAATTTCTAGGTTTTGAATGGTCTGTGCACAATGGTCAGGAAGGCCAAAGAGCTGGAAAATATGATATGCAGCTTGCTGATTTGTTATTGACAGTTGTATTTGGGAATTAATTAATTTAATTATTAAACTCATGCATTGAAACATGGCGTATTTTTGTTCATTTAGCTTATGCTTACCATAATTTCGGCCAAGGAAACACTCTGACTGTACCCATAATAACTCATTTTTGAAATTAATATCTATAAATCAGGAAGCTTTTCTAGAATTTTGGTCGTATATGCTACTTCATCCGTTTCATATTATAAGACTTTCTAGCATTGCCTACATTCATATATATGTTAATGAATCTAGACATATATGTGTGTCTACATAAATGTGGGCAATACTAGAAAGTCTTATAACCTGAAACGGAGGTAGTAGCTAGATACTAATTATATCAAATGACGTAATTTGCTAACAGGTGGTAATCCCTAAAGATCTACAAGGTGGGGAGATGGGTAGACTAGGAGCCATGGAGATGAGCAAAAAGTTTGGTTTCAGGTTTCTGAGTTGGATAACTCAAAAGAGGGAGTAACCCGTAAAACTTGCCTCCTGATGCACATGTAGATATTACTTTCAATTTGTGAGTTGGATAACTCAGAAAGTATGAAAATGATCTTTTGAGTATGCCGCCGCTTTTGGTTACCATGCAGAATGTGGCCATACTTTAAATATCCTATTATTCTGATACTTGCTACCTTGATTGTGTTGTCTGTGTCTAGCCCTGCTGGTGAATCCATCACACGTGCATGCATCGCCCACGATGATTGTATTCAGAAGAAAATGCCCCAGTGTTAGAATCAGGTAATGGGCTTATTCGTTGGATTTTATTGGTTTTGAAGACTTTTGATTGATTTCGAATTATATGTCAAGTTCACTGCACAGATTTCAGATGCAATGTCAAGTTTGTTTTGTATCAGTATGAATTGTTCAATGGATGAGAATGGAAAAAATGAATAACAAGCTCTCAAGCAGAGAGACTGAGCGAGATTAGAAATTATTGCATATATATTTGCATTCATGCTCTGCTGATGGTCTGAAATGTAAATGAAAACTTCCTTGATGAAAATGTATTGATTATCAAATATTTTATAATTTATTTGCTTCCGCAAATTTCTACTTGGTTTTGGTAATGTATGACTTTTACTGATCTGGCAAAGAGAAAGTGAAATACTTTAGGCAAACATTTTGTCTGTGTATCGGCGTGCTATGAAAAAGAAAATAAGTGACATGAATTTTGATAATGTGTTTTCTGAATCACGCTTACTAGTATGCATCAATAATATATGTCACACCTTCTCAATTGGAAGCTAGCACTAGTCATCAACTCATGCATCTCCATGGACAACAAATGTTTCAATAAAAAGCTTCACCTATTTTTACCGTAGGAATATGGGGCATTTTTTTCACTAATTAAAAACTTCCGTAGGCTAGATTGATAGAAAATTATTTATTTTTAACACTCGAAGTATAACGTTCAGCCTTGGCATAGTCTGTACATAGTTGCGATGCAAAGGCTAAAAGTTAAACTTTCATTGTTAAGAAAAATCATGAAAATAGGAAAAAAATTATATTTGCATATTTGCAACCAAAAGAAGATGTATTTCGTTTAGGAGAAAAGGTATCATGAGTCATGACTCAATGGCGCATGTCACATCATACTTACAATATAATTAATCATCTAATCAATAGTAGAGCCAAAATAGTATCATTATCGAAATCCTAACATCCACTACATGTAGTTAACTGAACATTTCAATTCATTATCGTATCCAATGCAGTGCCTCTAGTCCAAAACATTTTATTTCTTCGTCTGACCAAAAATCCACCAAAAGCAGATTTCTCGCTGTCTGAACTCTTCCTTACAGATAGTTCCATGTTTTGGCAACTATTAATTGCGTCATTAAAACATGTAGATGATGGTCTTAATTTTTTAAGCTGTGATTTCCCATTATCTCGTAGAATTTCTTAGCCACTATTGCCAAACAAAATCGTCCATCAATCTTCATGTTGGTTCTTGGATCGTGTACATTGTATTATCATGTCGTCATGTCTGCGGGCAAGGACAAACTGAAAACTCTTTCCTTGGCCTTTAGAGCCTATGGAAGGACACAAGACAAAAACATGCCACACCATCAAGAAACCGTACTGACAAGCTGACAGAAAAAAGAACAGTATACATGAGAGCATGCAAGAAGTTCTAAATGAATTTGCTTACTTCTTTCTCCCAGTTGGTGCACAGTGTTATGGCCAGAAGCAATAGCATCTGAACGATGAGTGCACACATTATCCCTAACCACAGTCCCTGCAAGTTTGGAAACATATATATTGTTCAGAGGTCAATTTCTTCAGCTCAAATGAGAGTGATTTTTTTTTGGATAATGGGTAGAAATCCAACTCTGTATGAGATGGGTAATTTTATCATCTTTGAGATGTCAAAAAAGAAAAAAAACAGAGGAGTGCCTCTGTATGATCTGCTCCCTCTGGTAGTTTTCTGCTTCTTTCTTTGCAAAACTAAAGTTTTGCTCAAATTATGCATATATGTAGTGAAATATTTTGCGATGTTGCTAAAAAAGTCACGCCACCGTGTCTTCGCTTCATGTGATTCCACCAAACTTTTTAAAAGTTTTTTTATTAACGATGAAAAATGAAATCGTAGACACTCATAAGTGCACCCACATTATGAATATACTTACTACTATTCACTAAAAAACAACATACATGCGTACAATAAAAAATGTCACATGAAAACATATTATATCCTTATATAATTATGCCATTCTCATCTAAATAGTGTTAACAAAATTAGCACAAATAATTTTGACAATATGTATTATTCCTTCGAATTAGATGTATAGTAAAAGAAAGAAAATCAAAACCCATATTAACTTCTATGTTTGCGAAGGTTAACGATATGTGAGTTTACGTATAACCGGGAGAAAGTGAATTTTATTTGAATATAATAGACATTATTATTTTATAGTATAAATATTTCATTCTTTTACGATTATAAGGTAATCTATGGTTCTATTATTATCATTTAGTATAATAATGGACATTATTATTTCGCAATATAAATATTTCATTCTTTTACGATTATAAGGTAATCTATCGTTCTTAAAATGAATATAGTGACATATGATTCCTTTTAATATTCTTTTTACGAACAACAAATAAATTGCCCGCGCATGTGCGCGGGCTTTCTTCCTAGTTTTTATAATTTCTAGACTTAAATGCTAGTTTTAGTAGAGTATTTGAGTAAATTTTGTATACGTACATTGAGTTTTCGGCGTTTTGAAATTTTGAAGCGTGGAATAGGACTATAAAAAAAAATTTCTGGAGCCACTATGAGGCGATGGTGTTTTCTGCTCGATCGGTGGGCCTGCATGACCGACATCATGGGAAGTTGGGCCATCTTCCTGACCTGCATCGGTGCAGAATGCGACGGCCTATGTAAACTCCTTACTTGCGCCGCCGAGGAGCTGGCAAGGAGGGGCGCGGCGGCACAATTAGCTAGGAAGAAGAATGTGATGGAGGATATAGTCGGTGTGGCCGGCATCCATGTTGCAGTGGCCTCACCAAAGAAAACAGATGGCAATTGTTTAATTGAGATGAAATCGAAGAGATGGCATTGACCAGGTATCCAATTTATCCATCTCCTATGTAAGTTCTTGGTTCTCGTTGGAATCACTTCTAGTTCTGATCGTGTTGTCCACCACCCGGTGGAACTGGAAGAATATAGTGTTATACAGATTGTAGACTTGTCTTTGTGAGTCAATATCCTTTGCTGCGTAATATTTCCTTCGCGTGAGATATTGCTATTAAGTACTGCACTGATGATTGGTCTGGTTATTCACTGGTTGAGGTTCTGTTCTGAATCGCTGAAATATTTGAAAGTCGTTTTGCCGCTGGAGTCCTGTTAAGAGATAAGCTAAGTTGTTTGCTCTTCATATTAATTTACTTCCAAGTTAATTTCAGAGTAAATCAATTGCAAGTGAGCAACAGATACGGCAAAAGAAGCAATGTTCAACAGATATTTGTGAAGGCATGAGCATGCCTGGAAAGTAGAAATGCACATCATATGCATTTGCACTTGCATGTATTGAAGTTACAACCATACATTTTTCATTTCTAACAACTGTCTGCGTTGTATTGGCCAATATATAGCAACAAACTATATACACAGACAAGTTTAATCTTGAGAAGTATGTATGGCTTGGAACCTAGAGCTAAGCTATTTTCCTATCATTTTCACTTCTAAGTCTATCCTCAGATATTAGGGGAAATCAAAGTAGATTGCACTGTGTGACCATGGCTGTTGCTACTACTTGTTTAAGTCTCAATGAGCAACCACCCAAGCAAATAGCACATCTTTGCAAGCTTTGATAGATAATTCAAACATTTATATGGATGTATATGGTCATGATTGAGTTGACATCTTGTCGATATAATTTGTTGGATGGTCAGTCTGTTTAATTAATCATTTAGATTAAAATTAAAGTGGAAGAGACCAATGAATAAAAAATATACATTCTAGCTAGATTATAGACTGAGTACAACATTTATATGTTCTCTAGTTTCTTCATCTCAATGAAATTGTGTCTACCGTATTATGCCTATTTATGTACTTTTATATATTAATTTGTTCACAATAGCACTATACTATTAACAACTGAAAGAAAAAACTTCAAACATAAAAAAAACAAATATTGTGTTACTAGCATCCAATTAGCGTCATATTACCCATTATTGATAATATTACTCTTTTCATATCTCTAGATATATGCATAAAGTTTGTTCAACTCAATGATGGTAAAAGCCATGTATAACTGAAAAAAAAATTCCAGTGGCAACCCTTGCAATACCAATTCTGATCTGATCTCTTTCTTGTTCTACATAATGAATTGATAATTAATTGCAATACCAATTAGTGGTGTCAAAATTTTAGAGCATCCCAATGGTATGATTGCAACTAGCATGTACTCAACTCCCTTACTAGTTTTGTAGTTTTGTATTTTTGTTTCGTTCAGATTCCACTTTTATCAGCTAAGACACAACCAGAAACGGGCATAGGGTAGAAAGTCCTGTACTTATAGGATTGATCAAGAGAACACGTCTTCATAGTCAAATGGCTAACGAGAGGATCGAGCAATAATACCATACAAACGCCAATCTCTAACGGAGTAACGGTCCATTAAGAACAGTAATATCCAACAATTAAACCATTAGTAATTCGAATGACAAATTTACTCCTTCCTTCCTAAAATATTTTGGGACCTTTAGCTATGAATTTGGAGAAGTTATATTTTAGAACGGACAGAGTATAACAATCTAATAAACCTTTAGTGATTGGGATTTGGGAGTGATTTTTTAGTGTAATAATTCATAATGATGAAAAAACATATATTTCTAAGCCAGAAAAAATATGTTAAAAAAAATATGCACTCTCACCAGGAACTGTACCATGACCAAATAGGTTTTCTCTAAACCAACCTACCTTGTGACTACCTGCGATCGACCTTTCCTTGTCGAGTAAATATATTGCATATGTATTCCATTTGATATTATGATTCTCATCTCTAATCCAATATGCATCGATAAAATAAATCCAATCACATTAGTATATAAATAGCTGCAATTTTTAGTGTGTACGAGATTAGAATGACTTCAAAATATACGACACAATTTTTATATATATTTCCAGTTAGAAAAATACAAGTTCAAATATCTGTAAATTGAATATTTGTTTCAGCATATATAATCATTTTAAGTTGAAGATTGTTATTAAATTAAGAAACAAATGTTACCATAAACACTTATGAAATTTCAAATGGCTAATTTGTAGGACCATTATGTATTATTAATATTAAATGGTTCCATGTAGTAATAGTACATTATGTATTATGAATTCTCATTGTTACATGTTAAAATTAGTTTCATTTTATCCAATACAGATTAAAAATTTAATTTGAATGGATGAAACATAGCAAACTATACAAAATAATATTCTATTCCATGCGAAAAGACAGTGTTGTTTGCTAAGTACCGTCGAAGTGAGCTTGATAATATTTGCAGGTTGATCAGGACACATTTCACCAACCATGCTAAGGAGAACATCACCACAGTTTGTTTGGTTTTCTCTAATATCTAATGGAATCCATCTGAAGCTTACACCTTTTTTTAAAGCTTGCTTATGCAAGGAAACATATAGGTATATATACACACATGGGGAGTGGATAGAAGATGTTGTATCACGCGTCCATGTATCCTGGTATCATGCTATTTAACACAAGCATGCTTCTGGTACATGAAACAACGTAGTGTGTATGCTTATGATTACACTCCTTTAAAATGACGGCACAAGTTAGATCATTTGCTTGCTGAACTAAAATGGTTTAACCCTTCATTTTTGTCAAAAGTGTGAACATCATGTCTTTTCCCAAACAAAAGCAGTCATTAGTCATCTAATCAAAAGTAGAGAAAATAGTATCATTGTCGAATCCTGACATCCATAATACATGTAATTAACTTATTAACATGATTTTAGTTCATTATCGTTATCGAATGCAGTGCCTGTACTCCATAAAAATTTTATTTCTGCATCTGACCAAAAATCACCAAAAACGGATTTCTCGTTGTCCAAAATCTGAACGCTTGCTCGCAGATATAGTCCAATTTTATTGGTGACTATTGCGTCACCAAAAATGGACACGACGATCTCAATTTTCTAACACTACTGGAGAAAACATTTTTGATGGGTTAGCCAAAAACCACATTAGTCTCGGTTTAAATAGAAACCGGGACTAAAGATGGTTTTTTTCCCGGTTTAAAACTCCATCAGCCCTGTATGATTTTTAGTACCGGTAACCAGGACTAAAGATGAGTTTTAGTCCCGGTTCATTCACAGCTAGGGGCTGTCAGGGGGCCAGTGATCGTTAGTCCAATCCATGTGCCGTATATAATCCCTCGCATTTATCCTCACAAACTCCTCATTTTTAACTTCCTTTTCCTCCTCTCTCTCTCTCTCTCTCTTATACTTGCCTTTCCGGCCTCCTCTCTTCTCTCTATCTTATCGTCTCCTTCTTTTTGTGCAGAGTAGCGAGGAGCAGAGGGCGGCGGCGGCCTGGCCTACGTGCCACGGAAGGCCGTGGCGGGCCGCGGCAGGTGGCGGCGGGAAGCAGGGAGGGTAGTAGCGGGCGGATAGGATGGCGGCGGCAGGCAGCAGGCGCGCGGCGACAGGCGGCGGGCGACGGCGTTTGGCGGCGTCCTCCCCTCTGCCGGAGAGGAGGCGGGAGACGGCAGTGGCATCGCCGTTTCTTCTTTCTTTTTTTTCTTAGAATTTGTGATTCATTGCATAGATCTGAGATTTATAATATGTGATGTATTTCTTTTAGAATTTGTGATGAATTAGTTTTTGAGAATTTGTGATGTATTTGATCTGTGTGTGATGTAAATATGTGATGTTTTTGTGTTGTTTTTTTTTTAGAATTTGTGATGTATTTTTTTTTAGAATTTGTGATGTATTTGGAGATGATCAATTTGGGGATTTGGAGATGATCCTTTTGTTTGGGGATGATTTGGGGATGTAGTGAAATCAATATTTAAAGTTAAAAACAATGAAAAAAAAGAAAAAAAAAACTACCAACCGAACCTGGCCGGGCTTCATCTTTAGTCTCGGTTGGTAATCCCGGTTATTTCAACCGGGGGATTCGTAGTCCCGGTTGCATAACCAGGACTACAGGGGCGGTTGCATAACCATGACTACAGGGGTTACAAACCGGGGTTAAAAACCATTTCTCCAGCAGTGTAAGCTGTGATTTCCCATCATCTCGTTATGTTCTCCTCGAAGAATTTCTCGGCCATTATTGCGAAACAAAATCGTCCATTGATCTTCATCTTGATTCTTGGATCGTGTCCATAGTGTTATCATGTAGTCATGTCTGTAGGTAAGGACGAACTGAAAACTCTCTTGTTGGCCTTCAGAGCCTATGGAAAGACACAAGACAATGCAAAACAGGCCACAACATCAAGAACTGTTTACTGACAAAGCTGACAAAAACACAGCACATTGTGTGATCATGCAAGAAGTTCTGCAAGATTTGCTTACTTCTTTCTCCCAGTTGGTGGCCAGAAGCCACAGCATCTGCACGATGAGTGCACACATTATCTCTGGCCACAGTCCCTGCAAGTTTGGAAACATATATATTGTTCACAACTTGACTATTTTTTGTTGAGATCGAGCATCATCAGACCTGACAGAACACACTGCAGTTCATCGAAGAGGAACGAGACAGCAAGAGTGGGCATCATCTTCGCAGCATACTGGACCACTTCCTCCTCGTTGTTGTACGCATAAACCCCGCAAATGGCGCACCAAGATCATGACGAGCCCCGCCGATCGCGATGCCGACGACGAGACGTGGCCAGCACCATCACCATCAGCGAGATTCTTGAGTCGCCAGCAATAGTTCGTCACCGGCATGTAGCCCTGAAGGACGCTACGGAACTCCATTTCATGATAAATGATTCTGGTTTCACGGTTGTCGTGGAAGATGCCCTGTCGTGGGCCAACTACCATGGTCTCCATGATGACATCAAGGACGTCGGTGGCGATGGAGCAGTACATGGCGATGTGGACAGCGGAGTCCTTTTGCGCCCAGATCCCAGCAGTGTCGAGCGGAGGAGGAGGCTCGAACGCGACGAAGATGGTTCTTTACTTGGTGTAGTTCGAACTCTTCATGTCAAGGACGGCAGACACGTGTGCCTTGAAGTTTGGGATGCTGAAAGCTCAGGTGCTGCACCAACGACCACGCGTGTTAGGCGTAGGTGGCGGGAGAGCACCAATTCGATCTTGCACGGACAGCGGGATCGTCAGGGCCGAAGAGACGCCTAGTGCTTGCACCGATGACACCATGATGGCATCTTGGGCCACCTATGCCTTGGTGAGGGTGGCGAGGAGGAGGTCTCCGTTCTTGCCAGTGGACGTCACGGCATGGGCAGCGGCGAGCGCCGTGACGAGATTGGCGACGGTGTCCTAGGTTAGGGAAGGAGGAGGGGGGAACACTGCCTATGGTGGGTTGTGGAGAAGCCATGAATGTAGCGGAGGAGAAAAAAATGGGAAAGGAACATGTGGGATCAATGCCGCTCTGATACCATGCAAACATAAACGAGCAGCAAGAACAAGGCCCCATTGGTTGCCCTAAGAAACCAAAGCCAAAATTTAAATTTTCAAAGTTGATTTTAAGATATTTTTAATGTAGTTCATTTTTCAGCAATGGATTTTAAGTCGCTAAGAACATATATAAAAGTTTTACTTATAAATTATTTTTTATGCTTTAAAATATAAGTTGTTTTATCTTATTAGGAACTATGGGCAACTGATAAGACTAAAAGTAGCTCAACTCACGCACAATTGGTGCAGGCCAATTTCAATTAAATAGATCAGCTACATGATAACCGGAAAGGATGGGAAACGATAACAGGTGATGAGGAGGCCTACTATATATTCCCCACTTTGAGTATAAAAATATAGAAGAGATTAAGCCAACTAACTTCATCCATACTAAGAGCAAGTTTAATGGTATAGCCAACCACTGGTTCCAAATCATCTATAGTCAATCTAATAACTCATTCATACAATAATAGTTGCTTATAAACATATACTACATCATTAATATATGGTCCCACCTCTCATACACACAATGTTTTGAAGTCCGTGCTGCAGCTGGCTACAAATCACTAGCCCGCTTTCCTTCTCTCTCCTATCTTCTCTCTCTTCCACATGTGCTTATACGTGACTTGTAGCATGCTACTGTACTTCTCTAACTAGCTCCTCAACAGTTTGAATTTAATGTGCTTTAATACCCATAAAGCTACCTACTAACTTCATTCATATCTACAAAGCTATGTAAATAAATTATTTATTATGATGTTTGATGAACCTTGATTATGAAGGCTTCGCTAGCAAATTCACATTCTACCGTATAAGCTAATCAGAACATCACATAGTTTGTTTGGTTTTGTCTAATATCTCAAAAAATATGTTCCATATCTACAAAGCTATGTAAAGAAATTAGTTAGATTGATGGTTGATGAACCTTGATCTAGAAGGCTTCACTAGCAAATTCACATTCTAGCGTATACACTAATCAGAACATCACATAGTTTGTTTGGTTTTCTCTAATATATCAATGAATATGTGCGAAGATAGGTGTTACACTACTTCTTTTGGTTAAGCTTTACTAGCAAGTGCTTATGCAAGAAAACATCTAGTTGCACACACATATATATATAGACACACATGCCGGTAAGAGAAGAAGTTGTATAAGTTGTATCACTATATATATACACACACATGCTGGTAAGAGAAGAAGTTGTATCACGTCCATAACCTAGTATCATGCTATTCAACATATGGGAAGATGGGAGGGACATGCTCATTAGATGCATGCTTCTGGTACATGAAACAACATATTGTATGCTTCTGATTGATTACAATTTTAAAATGATAGCACAATTAGATTATTTACTTGCTGAGGTAAAATGGTTTAACCCTCCATTTTAGTCTGAAGTGTGAACAACATGTCTTGCCCAAACAACAGCAGTTTAACTTCAATTCTAGCTCCAAGATATCCAACTTACCAGGCCAGTTCCTTATATATTTATTTTGAAGTAAGAATTTAGTTTTTTTAATTTGTTTTCTTCAATGAACAATCTTGAATTAGCATTACTTGATTGAACAGCTAATATGCATCAATAATATATGTCACACCTTCTCAATTGGAAGCTATAGCACTAGTCATCAACTCATGCATCTCCATGGACAACACATGTTTCAATAAACAGCTTCAACTATTTTTACCCTAGGAATATGGGCATTTTTTTTCACTAATTAAAAACTCCCGTAGGCCAGATTGATAGAAAAATATTTATTTTTAACACTGGAAGTTTAATGTTCAGCCTTGGCATCACCAACTGTCCGTACCTAGTTGCGATGCAAAGCCTAAAAGTTAAACTTTCATTGTTAAGAAAATCATGAAGCATGCTCATAGAAAAAAAAAACTTTATATTTGCATATTTACAAGCAAAAGAAGATGTATTTCGTTTAGGAGAAAAGGTATCATGAATCATGACTCAATGGCGCATGTCACATAATACTTACAATATAATTAATCATCTAATCAATAGTAGAGCCAAAATAGTGTCATTGTCGAAATCCTAACATCCATTACATATAGTTAACTGAACATTTCAATTCATTATTGTATCCAATGCAGCGTCTCTAGTCCATAACATTTTATTTCTTCGTCTGACAAAAAATCCACCAAAAGCAGATTTCTCGCTGTCTGAACTCTTCCTTGCAGATAGTTCCTTGTTTTGGCGACTATTAATTGTGTCATCAAAACATAGAGATGACGGTCTTAATTTCTCAAGCTGTAATTTCCCATTGTCTCGTAGAATTTCTTGGCCACTATTGCCAAACAAAATCGTCCATCGATCTTCATCTTGGTTCTTGGATCGTGTACATTGTATTATCATGTCATGTCTGCGGGCAAGGACGAACTGAAAACTCTCTCCTTGGCCTTCAGAGCCTATGGAAAGACACAAGACAAAAACAGGCCACATCATCAAGAAACCGTAATGACAAGCTGACAGAAAAAATAACAGTATACATGTGACGCATGCAAGAAGTTCTGAATGATTTTGCTTACTTCTTTCTCCCAATTAGTGCACACTGTTATGGCTAGAAGCAACAGCATCTGAACGATGAGTGCACACATTATCCCTAACCACAGTCCCTGCAAGTTTGGAAGCATATATATTGTTCAGAGGTCAATTTCTTCTGCTCAAAACAGAGACCGATTTCTTTTAGATAATGGATAGTAATCAAGCCTCTGTATCCATAAGTGAATATACACGGCCAAAGATTATATGAAAACTTATATTCCAGGTCCCATATCTAAGAAATAGCCAACCAAAATGTTGACAGAATTGAGGTAATGCTTTCTCTTATGTGAGCAGTAGAATTACCATGCCACCAAGATGGTAGACGAAGGCGAAACACAGCGCCGCTGGAATTCCGACGAGGTAGTACGCTCCAAGGTTAACAATGGCACCAATCTTTTGCCACCCACAGCCTCTTGCAACACCTGAAGAATCCCTCACTGTCAGTCATTTTCTTGGGGATAATATGTTTGTTAACAACCATATATACAAATCAATCATAAATAGATGGATATGAAAAGAACCGATTAACGCGTGAAAAAACTCAGACAATAGTCTCTCAATCACATGCATTTTGTTTTCAATTTTTTTGGTTGAGATCGAGCATCGATCATCTGACCTGACAGAACACACTGCAGGTCATCGAAGAGGAACGAGACGGCAAGAATGGGCATCATCTTCGCGACGTACTGGACCACCTCCTCCTCGTTGCTGTACGCGTAACCCCATAGATGGCGCACCAGGATCATGGCGAGCCCGATCGCGACGCCGACGACGAGACCCAGCGCCATCACCACACGGCTGGCCAGACGGGCCGCCTCGGGTCGACCGGCGCCGAGCTCATTCGAGACCCGGGTGCTGAGAGAGATCACGAAGAACAGGGCATTGTGATGTCGTTAATTTGTCATTGTAAAAGTTCATGAACAGTTGTTTTGATGAAAAGAAAAACAATAAATTGAAAGCAATGTTTATGATAAGGTGTTTGATTTGATCAATATATCTGACCTTATGGCTGAACCAAGGCCGAAAGGGATCATGAATGCCAAGGAACCCGAGTTCAGGCTGCAGGAAATTCAGTGGTACACGATCAGAGGAGGCAAACTGGATGCAGAATGTGTGACCAAATCATGAAAACATCACTCACCAAATGGACAATACTGATGCTTCCAGCTTCGGATTTGGGAGTAGTCCGGAGAGCAGCACAAGGAGCTCAAACGACCACCACTCCAAGCTACAAAACATGCAAATTTCAGCTAAATTCGACATGAGACAACGAAATTTACCTGAACTCAGAGTGACTAGCACAATAGTTTTCTTAGAGTAATTTTACCGTTCTTAACAAGGTACCAAAATGTATCATATTTTCTAATACTCCTATAAAACCTGATATCTCCTGTTACTAAATTTTTCAGTCCAAAATTTTGATATCCATAGGTATTTTCTCAAGTACTATAAAATTTCGTGAGTATGGTGTTATGTGCTTAGAGATGCACTTGATAATACAGTGGTAATTGGTAAGGGATGTGTGGTTTCAATTCTGAGGTCCCATGTTTAGCCCCCAACCTGCTTACAATTCCTTCTTAAAAATAGTTTGAAGAACATCTCTACCTCCGAATCTCTCCTTTTGTGTGTGTGTGTTGCGTGTTGAGTGTTGTGTGCGCGTGTACATCTATCGTGTAATAAAAAAAAAGTACTATAAAATTTATTTTTTTAAGTAAAAGAAACTTACCAGACCATGAGAGCAGAAGGAACAGCGAGCCTCATGAAGCCGACCAAGTCGTGGAACGCCTCCGACGAGAACCCCGTCCACGTGCTCCGGCACGCTGGCGACAGCCTGACGTAGGCGGCCAGGGCGGCGGCGTTGGCGAGGTAGGCGACGGCGTTGGCGAGCGCGGCGCCCTTGCTGCCGAGCCCGGCGCCGTACACCAGCAGCCAGCACACCGGCAGGTGGCACGCCGCGGCGGCGCCGGAGCTGAGCATCACCGGCATCACGGCGTTCTGCGTCTGCAGGAACCGGACGTGGCACTGCAGGGGCCCGTACGCCAGCAGCGCCGGGATCATCCACCGGATGTAGCTCCCCGCCGCCGCCGCGATCTCCGGGTCCTGCCCGAACAGCAGGAGGAGCTCGCCGGTGTAGGCCCAGACCGCGGCGACGCACACGCTGGCGAGGCCGAGCACCACCATGGCGCGCTGCTTGTACACGCCCACGAGCCGGTGCTGCTTCGCCCCGAACGCCTGCCCGCACAGCGTGTCCAGGCTGCTCGCCATGCCAGCCTATACCAATTGACGATGAACCGGATCGAACACGTACCAAGATGTCAACGAAATTCAATATTATGTTGTTGGGAATGAAGATGAGGTTTTGGGGATGGGTAATTTTATCATCTTTGAGCTCAAGGTATCGAGAAGATTTCGAATATAAAATTTGATAACTCCATGTATTAAGTATATTGAGGAAATAAAAATTTTAGTGTAAAATTTAAGTGCTTCAAGGTACTTTCTCAAGATATCATGCCATCATACCATGGATGATGAACAGATCGAACACGTACCAAGATGGGGAGCGAATTCAATATCATGTCAGGAATGAATATTAGGTTTCGATGTTAGGTAATTTTATAGAAGGTATTAAGAAGTACCAAATTTTGAAATATAAAATTTGATATCTTCAGATACTCCAAAAAACTTAGTGTAAAGTTTAGATATCTCGAGTTACTTTCTGAAGAACCGTATATTTGAGGAAGGGCTGGTGTGTGTACCAGGAGGCTGAAGCCGGTGACGCCGGCGAAGGAGGTGGCGATGGAGGCGCTGGAGAGCTCGAGCTCGCCGAGGTGGCCGACGAACATGACGGAGATCATCTGCACCACGTTCTGCAGCAGCCACCCGGCGATGAGCGGCCCGGCGAGGTACAGCTGCTTCCTCACCTCGGCCACCACCGCTAGCCTCGAGCTCCCTCCTTTCTTCTCCTCGCCATTGCCGCCTCCAAGAAGAGGCTCCTCCATGCTTGGTGGCGCCGCCATGGCCACGCCCCCCCAAGCTTAGCTTCTTGCTCTGCTTCTCAACTTCAAACAGAAAGATGAGTGTGTTTACAATTACAGATGAGGTGAACTACTTACTGAAGGTTGTGAGCAACAGCAAATCAGTCAATAATCTGACAAGTCCTTATAAGGGCTTTGCGATTAATTGGAGGAAACTGCGAGGAAACGATGCACACTAACTTGACAGCCAAGTTCAACGTGACTAAAAGGCGAAACAAGCTGAGGAAAGAACACGATACGTTGTCTTATCTGGCAAAGTTATTATGACAGTAGTATATACTACCTCCACCCCCAAAGAAAAAAAAATGTAACGATCTGGATAGCAAAATTGTCACCACAGCGCTAGTTTGTGCAAAAGTTATTATATTTTAGGTCGAAAATAGTAGTATTGTAAAATAAAAAAAAGTACGGAAAAGTTACAATATGGTCAAACTATTTTTGAAAACAAATAAAGTATGTTTTCAAAAGTTGAACCAAAATATTCAAAGGGATATTGATGGTTAAAGTTTAAATGTATTGCCAACGCGCATTCCAAAATATCACATATTTATAACTGGTAAGAATATTTAAGAAAGGCTAACGAATAGTAAAGAACTGGATTCTAAGACTGTTATCACCACTTCAACAGCCAAACAGATCCTGCTTCGATATGGCTGAAATAACTTGCAGCCAAAGTGGTGAAGTGCAGTAGTGAAGAAAAACCAAAGGAAACAACAGTCAAGCTTGGCAGCCAAGTTCAGCATGCCTGACATAATACTATTATACTCGATTAGGACAAGAATGTGTGTTGCTAGATTCTTTGCACCACGAGTCAAAGGATGAAACAAATTATATATACTTTTAGGTGCCGAAATCAACCAGACTTCCTCCTCTTCCCTCTAGTACTTGTTAACAGAGTCAAACAGGTCATCTTCAGACTGTTTAAATTTGTGTACACTAATCCACGATTTTAGTTCCAGTTAGTGGTATATATTGGATGACTTGATCAAATCATTTTGAAACAGCACATGTCCAAATTTCCAGCTCTTTTAAGCTTATTTTTTCATGCCTGACGCTCACGTGCCAAAGAGACCCATTCTCGACGACATGCAAAGACCCACCGTTGCAACAAATTATGAGGAAAAATATGCATTTGGTTCAGAAGTTCAGAACCGCAAAACTGAACCAAAGAACGGGAATTTCTAAAATTCAAATCAAGTCAAGCGGAGAAATTTTGTAATTCTTTCGCAACGAAGAGGCAAATCCGAGCGTAACAGATTTCGCTGTTCCGAATTATTAGCGACGGAGCAAATTCAAATTCATCGAGATAAAAGAAAAGAAATTCCAAGGCGTACGTCAAAAACAGCAAACTCCTCCCGCAGAAGCCGATCTCTCCGGCGCCACAAAAATTTGACTAATTGAGGAAAGAAACACGTGACGGGGAGCGACATGTGGAGCCGTACGTACCGCAGGTCGTCAGCGTCGCCGGCGGCGAGGCGCCGGAGTGGAAGGAGAAGGCGCCGCCGCCGTCCGTACGTCCTCTCTCTCCTCCTCCTCCACCTCGGCTAGACGAATGAAGGGCGCGGCGGCGGACCAGGAGGCTGGATTTTTCACATTTTAGTCCTTTTGAAAAACTTATTTCGCAAGTAGATCCCTAGAAAAACTTATCCCAAAAATGGTCCTTTTTGGGGCGCCAGAGTGGCTGGCGCCGTTGTTAAACAGGACGGCGCCAGCCTCTTTGGCGCCGTCCCACCGCCGACGTGGCGGGGCTATGCTGAGGTGGCTAGGGGGAGTACGCCAGAGTGGCTGGCGCCCCCCCCCCCCCCGAAATTTTTTATTTTTGTTTTATTTGTTTGATATTTTTTTCACGCTTAGGGACACACAAGAACCAACCACAGAAAAAATGAACTCAAATGGACGTAATATGTGACATGTAGAATTTTTTCTCTCCTCTCCTCTCTCCGAACTAGTGCAGAGGAGAGAGATGTGCAACTTTTTTTATTTTTATTTTATTTTTTTGATATTTTTTTCACACTTAGGAACTCACAGGAACCAACCACGTAAAAAATAAACTCAAACGGACGAAATATGTGGCATGTGGAATTTTCCAAAGCTCCACCGAAAAACTTCCCTCCTCGAAAACACAATCTTGCAAGCGGAATTTGGAGGTTTTAATATCACCGAACCCGGCAAAGCGGGGAGAATCGGATGTAACTTTTTCTGTAGATGTCCGTTCATATATTATTTGCCTGATTCCGAGTCCGTATGAGAAAGTTACGCCTATTTTAATAGATGGCATATTTTTTCCGTTTCGGTAGAGTTTTGGAAAATTCTACATGTCACATATTTTGTCCGTTTGAGTTTATTTTTTATACGGTTGGTTCCTATGTTCTCCTAAGTGTGAAAAAAATATCAAAAAAATGAAATAAAAATAAAAAAATTGCATCTCTATGTACTGTTTAACTTATATATGTCATTTCATGTGGTTATATTTTGAATTAGATTAAGTAATTTATATAGTGGTAGAGTGCATTATGTTTAACATGCTGATCAAAGGGTTTTACTAAAGGAGTTATGGTCTAATTTTAGTGAATGTGCAAAGTAGACTAAGTGGTATGCTAGATATTTTCAGACTTAGCTAAGTGGTAGTTCGAGTTTAAATTTTTTTTGTGGTTGGTTGTATCGTGATCCTGAGTGTGAAAAAACATCCGAAAAAATAAAATAAAAATGACACCGTTGCAACTCCATACAGAGAAACAGGAATGGAGGCGGCGGCGCCAGCCATGCTGGCGCCCTCCTCCCTGGGGCGGCGCCAGCCATGCTGGCGCCCTCCTCCTGCCACGTCGGTTCACGTACGCCACGGTGGCAGGAGGACGGCGCCAGAGAGGCTGGCGCCGTCCCGTTGGATGACGGCGCCAGCCACTCTGGCGCCCCAAAAAGGACCATTTCTGGGATAAGTTTTTTTAGGGGTCTATTTGCGAAATAAGTTTTCTAAAAGGATCAAAATGTGAAAAATCCAGACCAGGAGGCGAGGCAAGCGGCTAAATGGCGAAAACGAGTGATCGGCTGGATTTCATATTCATTTCCTGATTTTATCAATAGACCAACCGAGAAAGCTTATTCTGAAACTATAAGCCTAGGTGAAAAAGGGTCGAAAATGGCATCATTTTATTACTCTCTTCGTTTCATATTATAACTCATTTGACTTTTTTAATCAAACTTTTTTAAGTTTAACTTAATTTACAAGAAAATATAGTAGAAAATAAATATATTATCAAAATATATTCAATATTAGATATAACGAAACTAATTTCATATTTCAGATGATGCTAAATTTTTCTGTAAGTTTGATCAAACTTAATAAAGTTTGACTAGAAAAAAGTCAATGAGTTATAATAATATGAAACGGAGGAAATATATTTTTTATGAAAGCAATATCGATTGGATAAAGAATTTTTATATTTATGAATTTAACTATTTAGTGGCAGCTTCAATAAAACACACAAAATTTAGAAAAACTAAATTTACATTCAGAAACAATCAGTATTGATATCATTTATTATTACTTTTACGAAATTAGTATCGGTAAAGTCCAAAAATTTCTATGCTAGGTCGTTCTCTCTCATGCGACCCTCCGTTGGACGCCACCAGCAGTCATTCCCTCTCATCTATATTAGATCATCATACGATTATAACATGTGTGTCTCTCTATTTAAGAGGAAGCCTAAAATATAGTCCAACTCTATCCCTATCCTACACATGTTTCAACTTCCAATTCTAAACTGTAACATCTTATATATAATGAACACAAATTCTAACATTAACATTGACCGTCACACGAGCAAGGGCTTGGATAGTAGCTCCATGCCTCGAGACCTTGACGCCGATCCAACGGTTTACTTTGTATAGATATATTCACAAAATAATTTTAAGAAGGGCTAAAATGTTCAAAAAATAACAAAAGGTGCTTAATTTGGTGCACCGATCCATTGAGCGGCGACTTCCTGCGGTGGTGGCCTGGTGGGGCCATGGCTACCGCGATGAACAGCGAAAAGTAAAGATCTATCGGATCAGTGAAAGGGACTCTCTCTCCTCTGCTCCTGGAAAGATTCAGTCGCCTTCAACCTCCAGCAAATATTTTCGATTTCCTCTGTCTGATGATCGATCGATCGATCGATCCGGTGGTGATCGACAGACACTGTTCTTGGCACGGCACGAGCGATGGTGATGACACTGACCGTGATCTCTCGTGTTCACCGAAATTCCAGCCAATTATAGCCTTATTTTGTTCCTCCCCCCATGCATCTTCGGTGTCGCATAATGAATGGTTCGATCGATCTCTAGTACTTGGCGTCCATGGGAAGAGACAAAAGCAGCTAGCGGCCGTTGTTCAAAAGATTTTTTTTTAAAAAAAAGAAACTAATGTTCAATGCATCGCTGTCGATCTCTGGAGCACTCCACAACACCAGCAGCTGTGTGAAAAAAGATGTTCCAAAACAGTAAATTAAAAGAAAAAAAATGTTCTAAGGCATTTGTAATTAATACACACAATATCGTTTATTGCAAAAAAAAAATCAAAGTTTTGTGATTTGTTTTAAAGAACTCAAATATATTTTAAGCCAAGATGCTTCGTGGAATCTCATACATTCATGTAGAACACTTTGAACAACACTATATTATAAACAATATTTTCGAATATATATATATATACTCATATTAATATGCGTAAAATACACAGACATATGTGCACTTTCAATGAGTAATGATATTTAAGAAATTTGTCGTTAACTTTCATCTCTTACTCTCCTTGAACATGGGTTAAGAGTGACACTCGCTAGTGTGTGTATGGAGTGCGCATCTATAGCTTGGACTTAAACCCTCAGGATTACATCGATAATCATGTTTATATATTGTAAAAAGAACTTGTTTCTACCATTTGATACATTTCCTTCCTTACTCTACCACTACCAGATATTTCTAGAAGAACAAGGATAAATAACTGAAAGATAATTATTGTTTATTGTCTTTACAAATATATACTTAAATTTGCTTTAAAACTTAAATTATAAACACACTAAATTTACATATGTAATTTAGAGACTTACAATGTAAATACATGCTGACTATTTTTTAGTGAAAAATATAGTGCCATAAATATAGCTACTCCCAATATTTAAGTATATATTTATTCTATTGATAGGCTATGTCTAAATGCCTGCTAGCTTTATTCTAGTGGCATATATTTATTCTATTAGCTTTGGTATCCCTAAAATTTTAATCCCATGTTCACCACTTTGCAGCAAAACATGCATGTTAATCGGCTACATGAATGCACAAACAGCCATCAGCAACCACGCTTTATGGAGAAGACGGCTAGGAACCCACTTTGAAATCATTAGTTCCTAAAGCTCAATATTAAAGATAAAAATCACATCATCACACCCACTAACAAGTATTAATTCAATCACTATCTACATTTTTATCATATTTTAAAGTTCCACATACAAACATGTCAAATCATGATAAATCATGATGGGGGGTGTTACGAAATTTGTGCCTAATTGACACTCACGATTCGTTGCAAACAAATTGTAATTAACACCAGGATTCCGAGTTATACTACCACCCCTTTTGTGTTCAAATTGACAGAATGCGCAGAACGTACAGAGAGAAGAAGTAGAAGAAGAAGCAAGAACAGAGTGCGATGCGAGAACGCGTACCGCGGAACAGAGAAAGGAGACGAGGAGATCGAAGGAAGCCGTCGTCGTCTCCTCGTCCTCCTCCTTCTCCGGCGAGCGGCCGGAGGAGGCTGGGGACGGATGGACGGGCAGGCGGGGAAGGGAGCGTGTGTGGAGGCTGTAGTTAAGGGCCTGTTCACTTTAATACCAAAAAAAACCTTACTAAATTTTAGCATTGTCAAAATTTTGGTATAGTTGCTAAAATTTTGGCAGGATTTTTTATATAGTTACCAAAATTTGGCAGCAAACTAAATGTATCTACTTTTTTTTGACAACTTTACCGAAATTTGGTAAGGTTGAAAATGATATCAAATTGAACTGGCCCTAAGCTAAGGCTGCGTCGAGAGAAACGAGTGGCGCCAGCACGCGATGCGCGTCTGCACTGCATGTCTGCATGGTTTGGTTGAGGGGGGGATCCAAGCCGAGGCGGCTACGTGCACGCGATGCGGCGGCAGCGTGACGACGAGCGTTTTCATTTGCCCTTTTTTTTTCTTTCTTTCTTTTTTTCCTTTTTCTCTCCTCCTTTTTCTGACTCGATCTCGATCGGAGCTGACGCTACTGGGTCTCTGTAGGTTGTCTCGTCCATTGGAAGGGACGAAATAAAGCAAACAAGGTGATGGTTTGATCTGCTGTTGGATACCTTGAAGATAGGCAATGAACTGTAGTTTCTACGGTCGTAGCACGTGGCACCTTACTCCCTCCGTCCAAAAAAAAATAAACTCTGGGTTCACCGTCCGTCTTATTTAAAAAAATTATGAAAAAAATTAAAAAGACAAATCACGCATAAAGTATTAATCATGTTTTATCATCTAACAACAATGAAAATATTAATTATAAAAATAAAATTTATATAAGACGGGCTATCAAACGTTCGACACGGAAACCTAGGGTTTATCTTTTTTTGGGACGGAGGAAGTAAGTTTTATTGACTCATAAGCAACCAATGCTCTGGTACGGAGTGTGAGCGTGTGCACTGTGCATAGGATACACTGCCCGGTTTGCACTGGCCTCTACTTGCGCTTACTCCATACTTGCAAACAGAAAAATCGAACTAAAAATTACAAAACAAAAAAATACTACAGAACAATATACAATTCCAACGGAATAGCTGACGTCACGATGATGTCGTCATGTTATTTATATACCAAATCTAATTCCTACGGGATATCATATCTGATACTTACGATACCATGCTGACATCATGTTGGCGTCAGCTATTCCATTACAACAGTATACCGTTCTTTAGTCTCCCAAAAAAAATATTATTGAAAAGGTATATATGAGGTCCCTTATCTTGTCACCAAATTACAAAATCCTCCATCAACCGGAAAACCTGATATATAATATCCCTTAGCTTACAAAACCGGGTCACTCTAGATCCTTAAGAAGTATTGACCCCAATTTTATCTGACGTGGCAACTGAGTCAGCGTGGCACCCACTCGGTCCCACATGTTAGGGAACCTTAACCAACCAAAGTTGGCCTCGGTCATTATGTATTGAACCGAGGAAAAAGCCTTTGTAATGGTTGGGCGATAGTAAAAAGTCATAGCAAAACCTGTAGCAACTTGTACTAGAAAACAAGTAAGTGTAATTCCCCCTAAACATTAAAATATGTTGACATGAGGAGGAACATATTTACTAGTTATATTGTCTGCAATTGCCTAAATCTCAAGACGTTCCTCAAACCAATCATATACTTTATTGAGATAGGTAACTAACCCAAACCCCCCTCCGAGAACTGTATATGAGAATTTCATCTCGTACGGCTCAAGCAGAAACAAGCTTCTCCATCCCTTCTCCTCTCTCTTCTCTTGTCTCTTTACAGTGCACGAGCGGGCGTGGGCGGTGGCTGGCGGCGGGCAAGGAGAAGAGCGGCGGAGAGGAGATAGGCGGTAGCGGTGCTGGCTGGCCAGCGAGTTCAAGATCACCCGCTCGTCGATGAAAGTCTACAACGGCTGGTGGGCAGTGGAAAAGCGGCAGTCGGGCAGCATCTACAGCGGCACTTATCTCGGCGGGAAGGTGGCAGCGGCAAGCTCGAGGGTGAAGCCGGTCTCCGTCAAGGACCTCGCCCTGCCAAGCAGGACGCACCGGCTGCTCTTGGTGCGATCCATGGCGGACCTCGCCGGCTGCCTCCACACATCCCCATACCCCGCCTTGATCTCCCCACGCCCCACCTCGACCTCGTCGCGCCTCGGCTCGACCTCACCGGTCGCGTCGTCCTCCCACCTCCTCGCGCGCCGCCTCGACCTCATTGGCCACGTCGTCCTCCAGCGCCCTCGTGCCCCGCTTCGACCTCACCGAGCATGCCGTCCTCCCACCTCTTTTGCCTCCCACCTCCCATGTGCAGGGGAGGTCGGGCTGGGCAAGGCGGGAGAGGAGGAGGCCCGCGACGGCCCGGTCGGATCCCTTCACGAATGCGACAAGGAGAGGCGGAGTTCACTGGTGAGTCCCTCCCCCATGCTCCCCCATTGCTCTCCACCCGTGCTCCCCTGTCTCAGCTCTCCCGCAGCGCCACCATCCCCGTTCATCTTCCCCCTACCCGTCTTCACCAACAAGCGTCGCCACCGCCAGCGAAGGCCACTGTTAGCCGTCGAGCGCCTCTTCCGTCGGCCACCACCCTTCTCCAGTTCTCCCAGCCTGACACTGGCCACCCTAGATGCTTTGATTGAGATGGGAAGAGAGAGAGGATAGAGGTGGAAGAGGATTGATGTGCTGACATATGGGCCCCACGTGGGTTCTACGCTGACTCGGCTGCCACGTTAGACAAAAACCAGGGTAAATACCGCCTAATGACCCAGAATGACCCGGTTTTATAAGTCGAGAGATATCATATATCTGATTTATCTGTTGCGGGATGATTTTGTAATTCGGTGACAAAATGAGAGACCTCAGATGTACTTTTTCCTACACATAAATGAACCAAGATTTCGGCCCATCAATCTGGGCCTCAACTGGCTAATATGTTTAGGCACAATTCTAAATAGATCTCAATCTCCGCCCATCCAAATTAGGCCCAAAATTATCCCATCGCAACACCCTTCTTTAGTCTATATTACCTCCCCTCACCGCGCTTCACCCAAATCGCCTCCTCCTTCCCCGCCAAAACACTCAACCAACCCCAAATCCCCCCATCTCTCTCTCCTCTCTCCTCTCTCGCCAAGAACGCAAGAACGCCAAGAAGAGGCCAAGATCGCAAGAACGCCCATGGATCGGCAGCGGCGGCCGAGCTCACCCTCCTCCCCCTCGTCGGTGCGGACGCGCGGGAGGAGCCCGATGTCGCCGTCAATGCCGCAGCCGCTGCCGCTGCCGTCGCCGCCGTCGAGCCCCCGTTCTGGCGCCACCACCACCACCACCACCTCGGTGCGGGCGCGTCCGAGACCACCGACGGCGCCGCCCGACGCCCCCTGGCTCGCCCTCTCCGGCGGTGGCGCCGGGTCATCAGACGTCGCCGGGAGCAGCAGCGGCAGCGGCAGCAACGTCGACGAGACCCTCGCCGCGATGAGGGACGCCGCCTGGGCAAGATTCTACGCGGTCATGGGGAAGGGGAAGGGGAAGGCCGGGGAGCGCGGGAGCTTCTCGTTCCCCGACCTCGGGGCGCCGCACGACGTCGTCGACGCGGCGGCGGTGGTCGACCACTTCGCCACCGTGGAGGCGGAGAGGAGGGCGGGGGCGAGGGCCCAGTTCCTGGACGCGACGATGGAGGCGACGGCGAGCGCGCGGCTGGGGAGGGTCAAGAGGGAGCTCCTCGTCGACCGGAGGGTGCTCGACCTCGCCGGGCTGGAGCGGTGGCTGCGGCGAGGCGAGGCCGTCGCGGAGCTCGCGTGGTTCGCGGAGCTCTGCGCCGGCGAGGGCGGCGAGCCGGTGCCCCCGCTCGAGCTCTTCGAGTCCGCGTTCCGGGCGCTGCAGGCGGCGCGCTCCGACGAGCTCCACCGCGGCGCCGGTTTCAGGAAGCGCTGGGTTGGCCCGGCCGCCGTGCCGGAGTTCTTCCTCTGCCCTATCTCCAACAAGGTCATGGTGAATCCAGTCGTCATCTCCTCTGGAAAGGTGTGCCGAATCTTTCGCTGCTTCCTCAATTTCTTCAGTTCTTGTGGCTTGTTCTTGTGCTGTTCTTGGTATTCAATTCATTTGCATACCCTGCTTGGACATTGTAATTGATGTTCTCTGATAGTTTCTACTACTAGTTTCTTAGTGCTGGATTGGTACAAATGTTGCAAGATCGCTTCGGATTGGTGACAATGTAGAAATATTTTCTTAGTGCGATCTCTTAGCTTTGTTCAATTTCTGTCTGTGAGGAACTGAGTTTTTATCTAGAATTACAGTCCAAGGAAAATCCGTAATGGTATTATTGCTTTCGATTCAAGAAGTGCCATTTTTTGTTCTTTCCATAACAGAAATCCTCTTGGATTGCTTGAACCTTGTTATGCTGTTTCTGTCCTGCCAGGGTGTGAATTCGGATGTCCTATTACTTGTTCTGAATAATTTGTTTCCACCTAGAGATTGTTTCAGAAAACTTTATCTAGAATTACAGTCCAAGAAAAATCCGTAATGGTATTGTTCATTTGGATTCAAGAAGTGTTTTTGTTAATCATAACAGATTTCCTCTTAGACTGTTTCATTCAAGTTCCTGTTGGAATCTTGTTAGGTTGTTTCTGCCAGGGTGAATTCAGATCCCCTAGTTGTTATGCTTACATGTTCTGAAGTACTTGATTCCACCTAAAGTTTGTTTTAGAAGACATTATGCTTGCTTCTTTGGGCCATAGGATATGATATCACCAAGGAGAATAAAAATTATAGCAATTTGTAAGAGTTGTTTTTCTTTGGGAGTTATGTTTGCTTCAAACAAGGAAAGAAACATTATCCTGATGTGAAGAATACCCTGAAGGGCTGATTTTCAGCATGTTGTCAAGTTGTTCTCTTTCATCATGTAGGTTTGAGCAATGGCCTTTTACGAAAGCCGATTCAGGGACTGAGCTGTCATTATAAGTTAACCCCTTTCTCAAAATGGAGCTTTTGTCTGAATGATTCAGCAATATGCCTGGAGTGAAGCTAGTTGCAGTAGAAAATTACATATGTTAAAATTTGTTTATCTTTAAACTTTTGATCGTCTAGTACAAGGCATTTTTGTTTATCTTTATGTATCTTCATTTGTCTTGTTAAATCTCCCCTTATATAGTTTTCTAATTACTGTACTTCTTATTCTTATTCTGTTCCGAGGATTTATCCCTTTTGTCAAGAATAAAAGAGAGCTTCCATAGTGAATATTAACTCCCTGATTCTAATTCTTGTTTTTTCATCTCACTGATTGCATCTGTTGTGTCTACAGACTGTTGAGGTTTTAGCATTGGAGAAATGGTGGAGTGAAAATAGACGCCTCTGTCCAGTAACTGATGAGATTCTCGACAACAGCATATTCATCCCCAATATCCTCATTATGCTGTGCACAGCACTATGGCGTACAAGAAACGGCATTACAGATGTGACAACAATTGCAGAACCACCAAAGATTTCTTCTGAGGAGGAAGCCCTGTTCAGGGAAATCAACCTCTTGGCACTCTCCCCTAGCTTGTCTGACAAAACATTTGATGCCATATTACGCCTACATGAACTCATCAGCAATGCGCAGTCCTCGCTCCTGCATCTGCTTGGCCAAAGCCCAGGGATGATTGCAAAACTTGCATGCCTCTTGCCAGAGACATGCCTGGACCCTGATCCCGGATTGGACGACATTATCCTCAAGATCATCGCGAAGACAGCTTCCTACAACCCCAATAAGGTGATATTAGGAGATGATCAATATGCCATACCTGTGCTGATTGCAAGGGCATTGCTAGGGCCTGTGGACACAAGAGTCAAGAGTGCTCAAATCCTTGGGTTACTGGCTGACAACTACTACAACAAGATCAAGATCGGTGAACTTGGAGGCTTCGCTGCGCTGATGGAGCTGCTGCTCTTGGTAGGAGACAGAGAAGTCAAGAGGACGGTGGCGATGGCGATCGCCAGTCTCTGCGAGGCCCAGGAGAACTGGAGCAGATTTGTCAGAGAGGGAGTAGCAGATGCTGCTATATCCTTGTTGCGCGACGACAACCTAGTGGATGAAGCCCGCAGCATCTTCTTGAAGGCTACTGGTTTTGAGCTGGCCATGACACAGGTTCTGGATAAGCTGATGTCATTTGGCGATGATGCCAACTGCTTAAAGATGGTTGAGAGCATCTGGAATACCTTCATCCGGACGAAATTAAGACGAAGGCGCCCCAACGTTACTCATGCATCTTCCTCAACAAGGGCCAGTGACGTATTTTCTGATACATCTTCTGACGGGAGTGTAGAACTGCCTATGCACGTTGAATTGACAGACAAGGCCGAGGACGATGTTAGGACCATTGTTTCATGGCTGCAGAAGAGGACGTGCTACCCGCGGACGTACAAATACGAAGATTGATCATTGGCAGGCCAACATGTGTAAAGAACAGAGAGGAGTGTAACTGTGGCTGGAAATCATACCTGATTCTTGACAGAGCACATTTTCTGTTAATCTGTACGTGACGGTAGCTCAAGTGCTCAACTCAAGCTAAAGAGTTGTTCTGATCTTTTTCTGAATGTCAAACTGATAAAAGATAGTATCTGAAAATAGCATTTGTTATATTGTTTCAGTTGTACAGCTGAGATACTGTATTGATCAATTCTGTCATTACACATTCCTGAGAATTAATATAGCTTAAATGGATGTTGCATGAAGTTGAGCTTCATACTTGGGAGATATTGTGAGTGAAGCCGTCTGGCTAAATATGAGCATTGGAGACCAACATTTTGAACCCTTTTTCTATGATAATTAGTTATCTTTTTCGCAGTATGAGATAGTGTGCACTCTGGCATATCTGATCCTGATCCTGCCAGATTAAGATTAAGAACATATATACAACATGACCTTATATTTACTAGTACCATCGTTTTGCAGTTGTTTAGCCAAACCATCTCAAAATCCATCAGCTAAACCATTTCTTCATATGGGTTGGACAAAATCATTTTATCAATGAAACTCATCTAATAAAATTTGCATGTCCATTTGCTTAATTCACCTGCCTTCTGTCAAGGCATCCAAGACGATTTATGCTCTTGTCTGAAAAACATCTTGCATCTACATTTTTCTTAGCAATGACATGACCATGGTGGATAGATCACAAAAGATAATGGCCCATGAGTTAGTGGCCCTGCATCTGTATACTTATATTATATATATGCCCTAAGCAAAAACTGTGGAATGACTCATCTCACCGTGGTGGCCATAAACGTGGTAGTAGTATATATATAGATATGTATAAATGTAAGTGCCTAAGTAGATATATATATGCTAGCTTAAGCTTGATCAATTCAAGCCATGGCTGAAGGCTGAAGCTTTCCTGGGGAAGTACTTGCGCGCCCGCAGCTGCCGGCCGTTGATGACCAGCTTCACCAGGTGTTCCCCGCCGAGCACCGCGGCCGCCGTCGCCGCGTGGCGGAACACGATCCTCCCGTACGTCGGCGGCTCGCCGGCCGGCGTCCTCTCCATCATCACCTTCTCCAAGCAGTCGCCCCACCTCCTGCAGATGATGTTTGCAGGTTAGTTAGTACTTATGGATGCCTGCAAATTCTGAAGGTACTTGGTGACATTCTGCTTACGGATTGGACAAAGTTTTTCTGAAAACCAGCATAAATGGGAAAAGTTTTTTTTTTCGAACGATTAGTACCAGACAACGCGATGATTCATTGGATGGAGTAGGAAAAAATCACAAGACTATTGCCTTGGAAGATAATAGCCAGGAAAGAAAAAAATTCCACCACACTGACAACACCTACGCACAGGTAAATGGGAAGAGTTTGAAAACCATGATTATGGAAATAACACCAGGGGCGGAGCTTGAGTATACTAGGGGGGTGCCTAGGAACCCGGTCAAGAAAATATTTTAGTTATACCTCATCTATTTTCACCATGTATGCACTCCCTCAATACAAACTTAGACACCCGCATTAGCTTAAACTCGATCTAAAGTAAAGTAAATTAAGCAAGTGGCACCATCCTTCATTTCGTTCTAGCTCCGCCCCTGAATAACACCTCTCAAGTTTGAAGTCCCCAAAAAACAACACTCAATCTGTATCTGATGGAGATTGAAACCCGGTTCTCAAATAGACAAAAGATGATCAAATATTTTAAAACATTGGCCACACTCTTTCAAAACAAAAACAAATAAAAAAAACATTGACCATATATAAGAGAATTCTGCGAATGCCACCTTAATCCCTCATAAGTTGTGAAATACCATATATATCGCGCACTGCAGAATGAAAAATACCTTTTTTTTTGTTGCACTTTCTATAACCTGGATTTACATGATTCAAGATAAAACTATTTGTAAATTGAAATGAAAAATTGAAATTTTCGTTATTAAATTATAAAACAACGAAACTCAACTTTCGAAAAATATATTATAATGATCTCAAGGCAAAAGGTTTGGAGATTCAGAGTTTCTATATGTTATACGGTACACATAAGAAATTAAGATTCAAAAACAGAATTAAAATGTTAACGCGAGAAAGTTTCCAGATAGAAAGAGGTGATGAAAAGCAAGGGCAAAAATACCTTTTTTTATCTTTTATTATTCTCTCAAGGTGATTAGTTGGTTTTCCCAATAATAAATGCATGAGTTACAACTAATCGGTCAAAGTTTATCGCATGCACGTAATTAATTACCAAGTGCATTGAGAAATGGAGATTGAGCTACGTACTCAGTGAAGTACTCTTCGATCTCTTCGCGCGTTAATGGCGACCCCTTGGAGAACGTGATGAACAGCGACCGGCAGCCGCCGTCGCCGACCGGCGCCAGCGCCGGCGCAAGCGGCCGGCGGTAAGGCGCCGCCAGCTCCGCCGGGAGGACCGCGCCGCCGCCCTCCTCGTGGCGGCGCAGCAGCGCGTACAGCCTGTCGTCGAACACGAGCGCCCCGACGCCGTCGAGCACCTCGGCGACGCCGCGGCGCGGCGCGTCGTCCGGGACGAGCGCGAAGAAGCGGCGGACGTCGATGCCGCCGCCGCCCAGGATGGACGAGATGAGCGTCTCCCCGGCGCCGGCCCAGCGGCGGGCGAGGTCCAGCGCGGCGGCGCCGCCGTGGAGCACGGCGCGGGCCTCGGAGGCGAGCCGCGCGGCGTCGTGGCGGGTGCGGACGAGGCGGCGCGCGCGGTCGACGGCGTCGACGCCGGCGCCGCCGCCGCGGCGGCCGAGCCACATGAGCAGCGCGACGGCGTTGCGGGCCGGGGGAGGGGGCACGCCCAGCGAGAGAAGCTGGTCGTAGGCGGCGCGGTCGACGCGGTGGAAGGCGAGGACGTCGCGCACGGTCGGCTCCACCATGGCGAGAGCGCGGCGCGGCGAGGCGGTTTTTTGTGGCGACGGGGAAGAGGAGACGGGGAGGGGGGTGACATGGCGTCCGTACGCTTTCAAAACGACGCGGCTGCGCGAAGTGGCGCGTACACTGAAAATGGGGGAATTTATTTCTTTTTCTTTTTGACGGGCACTGAGAATGGGTTGGAAATGCAATGGAGTTCGCTTCCTTCCAAGGTACACTATACTTGCATGTTAGCCATTCAGCTTTGCAGTTATACGAATTGGGCCGTGTTTAGTTACTTGTCAAAAAATAATAATTTACATATACGAACACACATTAATATAGGCTAATAACAAACTAAACTAAATTATAAATTCCGCTTATAAACTGCAAGACGAATCTATTAAGCCTAATTAATTCATCATTAGCAAATGTTTATTGTAACACCACATTGTCAGATCATGGCGCAATTAGGCTCAAAAGATCCCTCTCGTAATTTACATGCAAACTGTATAATTAGTTTTTTTTTCCACATTTAATGCTCCATGCATGTACATTTGATGTGACGGATTTTTTGAAAGTTTGAAGGGAATTAAACACAGCCTTGGTGTAAAATTATACTCCCTCCATCCCATTTTAAGTGCAACCGTGAGTTTTCGTGACCTACTTTGATCGTTTGTCTTATTTCAATTTTTTTTTTGTAATTGGTATTTTTGTTGTTATGAAATGATAAAAACATGAATAGTATTTTACTCGTGACTTATGTTTTTAAATTTTTTCAATATTTTTTTAAATAAGACGGACAATCAAAGCTCGGCGCGAAAAACCATGGCTATATTTAAAATGGGACGGAAAGAGTACTACTCTGTCCCATAAAAAACCTAATTATGTGTGTCCAGGTTCATAGCTAGCATTGATTTTTTTTAGAACGGAGGGATATTACTCACTACGTCCTAAAATATAAGCAATTTTAGACTTTGACATGTTCTTCGAAATGATACCTTGAGCAATAATATCTGTAAAGTAAAAGTAAAAGGTCTTAAATAAAATGAGTTGCATATTATGATAATTCGTTTAATAATAAATTAACATCATTTTTTACATGATCCATCTTTTTTTATTTTTTTGCTATTAATAGTCAAACTTAAAAATATTTGACTTGGCACTATTCTAAAAATACTTAAAAATGCTTATATTTTGTAATGGAGGGAGTACTCTTTTTGAAATTTACGATCTTCTCGCACAACATTTGACCATTTATCTTATAAAAAATTAATATAAATATGTAAAGTATAAGTTAAGATTATATTTTATTTGATAAAACAAGTCATATAAAATAAATGATATTTATATAAATGTTTTGAACAAGATAAATAGTTAAAAGTTAACGGCGTAGTCCATTATAAAATGGAGGGAGTTTTATTTTTCTACTTTGGAAGGGTGAGTGGCTATATATTTGCAACATTGTGAGATGAATCGTTGTGAGGGAATTAAACCAATCTGAGTTAAATCCTCTTTAATTGGACGGCAGAGACGAGAGGGCTACGGAAGTTGATCCATCCCATAGTTTGTTTGGAAAATTTTCCTTTGGGAACTACTCCAACGCATCATTTACTCTTAAACTTATTAATCGTAACAAAAAAATAAATTTTACAATTTAATTTTGGTGTTGATTTTAATGTTTTTCCATAATAATAGCCAAGAACGCATGTATAAAAGATTTACCCATAAAATTGTTTTTCTATCAGTAATAAGCATTGCGGCTTATAATCAGCCAGAGCCCATTTAAAACTAATGAATGATATGAAACGGAATAGAGAAAAAGCATACTCCCTCCGGTTTTATTTCAATTGACGTTTTAGACAATGGCACAGACTACAGAATATATCTTTGACCTTATTTTTCTATTATAATATATACAATAAATAAATACATGTTTACTTTTATTATAGTGCTTTGAAAGACAAATCTATAAATGTTGTTCTAGTTTCTTTAAACTAAATATTTTTAAAGCTATTGGTGGTCAAAGTTATAAAAGTTTGACCGTAAACTTATCCAAAACGTCAATTATTATGGAATCGGAGGGAGTATGATTTTGGTAGGGGTACATGTACAAAGCAAAGGAAAAACTGCATAAACCACACGAATTGGATGAGAGACTCAAAAGGAAAAAAAAAATAAAAAGATCGGAGATCTTTGCTAATATATGGGTTAATATTTTCTTTCATGGGCGTCTGCCCTGCGAAAAAAATCGAAAGCTCGACATAAGAGAAAAAAATCAGGCGCTTCAACTTTCCATATTCTATCACTTATCTCCTCCCATCTACCAGAGAGTAGATGAGTAGCTAGCATGTTGTTGTCCCCTCACTCCATTCATGCATGCA